CCAGGAAGCCCTGTCCCGTCACAGTGCCCCACCCCGGGTGCAGGCCTCTTCAAGGTGACAGGGATGCAGGAGCAAGGATGCCTCTTGCCACCAGGAGCCCAGCGTTCACACCAGCCCTCAGGCCAGGATTCAGCAGCTCCTAAGTTGGGCAGCACTGGGTCCTGAGGGCAGAATGGAGGGGCCAGCCTTCCAGCCTCAGCCCCAAAGATGGTTCTATGCCGCCCTCAGAGCAGAACATGCTTCAGATTACAACTCTGGGACACACACGTCTTAAAGGAGCATTTTCCATACAAAACCTAACCTTGCCTTGTGAGAAGCACTGTTCTTTATTTTTTAATGCCGGTCTTTCTTTAAAATATTTTGTGACCCACTGGTAGTTGTGCCTGCAGTTCAGAAACACTGCTCTGTAAAATGATTTGCCCACCTCTGTTCCCCCAGCCAGGAGGTGGGAGCACCAGCTCCATGTCCCTGAAGGGGAACCGAAGCCAAGCCCCCCAGGCCTGCTATAGTGAAGTTCATTGCAGAGCTGGGCCTGGAGAGCTATCACAGGCTTCAGGGGTTGGGGGTGGGGGGCTGGCGGGGTGGGAGCGATCCCCATAGGATCGCTGGAAGGGCAGACGCAGGCTGGGAGTTGCAGAGGGCTGGGTTCAAATCCTACCTCTGTTAATTACTTGCTGTGTGACCTTGGATAAGTAATTTAACCTCTGAGTCTGGTACTCCTATTTTAGTATATGTGCTGAGCACGAGTCTCGGACTCCTAATTTGCAACTCGGAGATGAGTAGTCCCTCCAGGATTGTGACCTTCCTGTCCCCAGGAGAGCTCTGGGGTATTTGAGGAGCAGGCTGAGCAGGGTGGGGGACGGCACAGTGAATGCACATCCCTGGATTCTCAGGTCCACCCTGGTTTCCAAAATTCGACTGGGGCCTGCGGTTCCTCCACCTGAGAATGCTCGGGGCACTGCGCGCACCGGGTCCCCATGCCCGCGCCCCAACACGCGTGCCGCCCGGCGTCACCTCGCTCCCCCTCACCCCCGCCCCGGCTCCAGCTCGTCCCCCTGCAGCGCCGCCAAGGCCGGGAGCGGTCTCCGCGCAGCTCCGCAGGCTGCCCTCTTCCCCCTTCTCCCGTCCTCAAAGGTGCGCTCCTCGAGGATAAAATGGGCGCCAAGCCGAGCGTCCCGGCTGTGCGGGCTGCGGGGGGTGTAAAACCCCCAAGACCCCAGCCCCGTCAGACTCCAGGCTCCAGCTCTCCCGCGGTCTAAGCGCGCCCCGACCTGCTGGACCTCCCCGGCCCCACGGAGGCGAGGACCCGGCGGCGCCGAGACGCGCTGACTGACGCAGGCGGCCCGGAGAGCAGCCGGCCCCATCCTCCTGCCGGCGCGACCGGGGCCTCCGGGGCCGCCGAGGGGCGGGGAGGGCCGACCGGACTTGCCGGCGGCGCCTGAATAGCCCAGTCGGTAAAGAATCTGCCTGCAATGCAGGAGACGCCGGTTCAATTCCTGGGTCGGGACGGTCGTCTGGAGAAGGAACTGGCAACCCACTCCAGTATTCTTGCCTGGAGAATCCCGTGGACAGAGGAGCCTGGAGGGCTACAGTCCATGGGGTCGCAAGACTCGGACATGACTTAGCGACTAAACCAGCACCACCATCTGGAACAAAGTAGCCTCGCGGACCCCAAGCCGGAGACACCCAGCAGCGCTCTCCCGAGGAGACGCACTCTCACTTCCCAGGTGCCCCTCCAGTATTGAGAAAAGGCGACCCTAAAATAAAAAGCCCAAATAGGCGTCCTTCCTCCACAAACCTGCCAGACCAGCTCAACATCCGCGGCTTTGGCTGGGGGCTCCGAGATTGCCATCCCACCGGAACAGGCTCCTGACTGTCCTAAGGATATTGACAGGCCTGAAGCCAAAGTCGGGGCCATTTTTTGTTCCGTGCGGTTGCAGAGTCAGGTGCCTACCTCTACGAAGAGACGTCTGGACACACAGCTTACACGGCCACCGGAGGGATTAGAGGGCAGATTCAGGAGAAAGCCATACTTTTGAACATGCTGCTTATTTTCTGTGTCTGAACATCCTTTCCCTTACCTTTCTGGGAGTTCCTCCTCTTTTTTACAAAACCCTGCCTAAGAGCCTTTCCTCCCCCTTCTTAAGCAGGCCTCCCCCAGCTAATCTCAGATCACTGTCAGCCTCTCTTCCCCAGGTGCCTCCTCTCTGCACTATCCGGCCAGGTGGTGATGCTTGAGTCTTCCCCGAGCCTCTGGCCAGGTAAGGTGGAGCCTATCTTTCTCATCTGAGCTCCTGCATCTCCCATGGCCTGGCTCCTAGTTAACACAAGGGCTTCCCTAGTGGTCCAGCTGGTAAAGAATCTGCCTGCAATTTAGGAGACCGGAGTTCAGTGCCTGGTTTGGGAGGATCCCCTGCAGAAAGGAATGGCTACCCACTCCAGTATTCTTGCCTGGAGAATTCCATGCACAGAGGAGCCTGGCGGGCTACAGTCCATAGGGTCGCAGAGAGTCAGACACGTCTGAGCGACTAACACTTTCTCAGTAAGAAGGTTCTGATGGCCTGTGGATGCCGCAGGGCTGGACCTAGGTTTCCAGCTCAGCAGTTCCCCAGGCAGAACAGTCGGGGAAGGTCACACAGGAAGCTGGGGAATCCAAAGCCCCCTCCTACCCACACAAGTCGGGGCCCAGCATCGCTTTACTCCAGGAGGGAGCACCCTCGGCCTCCGTGGAATTAGTAAAGCAGGTCTCCTTCACACACAACCCATAGCACCTCCCTCCCTCCTTCCATCCAGCCTTTTTTTTGGCATGGGGGCCAGGCGGGGGGGGGGCTTCAGTAGGAAGAGTGGGCCCCCAGTCAGAGTACTAGGTCTGAACGGCCTGTCATCACTGCTGAACTTGGTTCTCCATCTGTGTAAAAGAAGACAATAAATGGGACATCCTTGGCAGGACTGGTTTAAGGATGAAATAAGATGTGTTAGAAGCCTGATCCCGCACCTGGGATCTAACAGATGCAGCTGCTCAGGGTTCCTTAGAAACCTTCCCCTACCCAGTCCCAGCCCAAGCACCCCACTTCCCAGCTGGGGCTGAAGAGGCATGTTATCCTGGTTATCCTCACCAGACAGAGAAAAGAGCGGGCCTTTTTGCCTCTAGAAGCATTTTTCAACATGAAATTTCCTCAGAGTCTTATGAACACAAGGCCACAAATGCAGGAGATGCCAGGGTTTCCCCACTCTTGTAGTTCCTGTTTTGGGGCCATTTCTATGCTGTGGGGGGACTGGGCTGGTGTCTGAGTTATCCCAGCGCCCTGTTCACACCTGGAAGACCCAAGTAGTTGTTCCACTGATCCCGCTGCTCAATCCCGTCACCCTGACCCCAGGCCAGCGCAGCCTCCCCAGCCTGCCGTGCTGGGGGCTCTGGGAGCTGTCCTTCCCCGCTAGCCTCCAGGGAAGTAAAGAGGGGTTTTAACCGGCTGCTGCTGCTAAGGCCCTGGGACAGGAGAACACTCACTCCCACACACACACACACACACACACACACACACACACACGCCTGACCTCCCCCCCAACTGCCCGTCATCTTTCTCTCAGACCACATGTCTCCTGGGAGAGCTCACTCACCACACACACACACACACACACACACACACACACACGACTGCCTGACCTCTCCCCACCCCCCACCACTGCCCGTCATCTTTCTCTCAGGCCACATGTCTCCTGGGAGAGAACACTCACACCACACACACACACACACACACACACACACACACGACTGCCTGACCTCCCCCTTCCCACCGCCTGTCATCTTTCTCTCAGGCCACAAGTCTCCTTCAGCAACCGTGCCTGCTAAGAGCTGCAGCCACACACACGGTAACCTGATTCTGCAGTGTTTTCACCACAGCCTGCCCCCAGCAGCCCCGGGTTGCCCACCCCCACTGATCCCATCTGAGGACCCTTAGCTCTGGTCTCATGCTCCTAAAGGCACCTTGCCCAGCGCTCCTCTTCCAGCCAAAGAACAACCTCTGGAGGCTTCCGCCTCAACCCTGGCATCACCCCAACCCCAGAGGCCTCCCCGGCTCCCCCTCTGGCATGCCAACACAGCCCACTGCCATGCCTGTGTCCTCCCTCCCCCTTCCCCCAGACCCCTGTCAGGCTAGTGAAGGTCAAGTGAACATTCAGCCCAAAATTTAGCGACTCAAGAGTGGGAGACGTTTTGGCTTTGCTTTTTAATAATTTAAGACTACTTCCAGAGAGTCCCAACACTTTGGGCAGTGGAAGTGCCAGGCGGGATGGCCCCTCCCCCTGCCCGAGTGCCCTGCCGTCTCCCTGCCAGCGACCCACCCACAGCTGCCCCCAGGGAGTCTAGGCTGAGAGCTTGTGGCTGAGGACAGCCTGGCACCAGCCTCACTCTGGGCGGGAGCAGAGGTCAGGGCGGTGTGGGGCAGGGTTGGTCTGGCCAGTCCCAATGGCCACAGCTGCACTTCCCTAAAGTTGGTCTCGGTTTCGTTTTGTTCCTTCAACCTCATATATCAAAAAGATTTCCCAGAAACCCTTAATATTCTGACTACCAGATAACATCTCTCAGATATTCTCACACCAGACACATGTTGCCGATTTTTGGTTTGGGATATATGGTCCACTAAGGCTGTGACTCCTGGACACTTGGTCGATTTTTGGAAAAAGAGCAAAGGTGTCAGATGGGAGCTGGGAGAAATGAGACTGAAAAAGGCAGGCTCAAGGCCAATATGGCCAAGTACTTTCTTTGGCTCTGGAGTGAGAGGAGCTGGGGGAGCCCCCGACAGTGTGGGACGGGGCCTGGGGGTAAGGCGATGATGCTTAGGGACCAACCGAAGGACCCACCGAATCTCTCTCCTCCTGTTGCCAACAAAGGTGCCAGAAGACGGTGACCCCACCTCAGGCCTGGTCAGGGCCGGAGACCCATTCCCTTCCCTGCTTCTGCATAAATTAACATCCTTAAACAAAACACACAAGCAGGCTCCTTCCCTCTGCAAGTATGGTCAGTCACAGAAGCCCGAGGGGCTGCACGCCACCGCGTTCATTTTCAGTAGACAAAGCAGCTTTGTGAAGCACATTCCCAGCCACCCCCGGGGCAGTTCGGGGTTTCCAGCGGGGTCGGGGGGTGACAGTGAGGGCCAAGGCACCTCTGCATCACTGTGGGACAGGCCTCTGCCTCAGCACCCGGATTGACAAGCTCTCCGCATGGGCCAGGAGCTCCCTCACGTGAGCCAAGCCCAGCCCTGCAACCTTGGCCCCGTTCACCTCAAGGATCTCATCCCCCACCCCCAGCAGCCCCGAGTAGAGCTTGGCTGTGCTCTTGTCAGCCATCTCCTGCACGTAGAACCCTGCAAAGGAAAACAGGAGAATTAACGCAGGAAATCCAAATCAAAGACACGCAGCTCTGTGGAATGCCGACCAGCTGGGTGGTATGGGGGGGTGGGGGTGGAGGGGAGGCAGGTGCTTATCCAAGGTGCTTCACGCACGCATGCACGCACATTCCCTCATTATTCCACTTCACAACCACAACTCGCTTTATGATAGAGCAGGCCCGCCTCCACTTCATTTTTCCTTTTTTCTCTTTTAAAATGCCCCTAATACAAATAATGCCTTAAGCTGTTGTTATTCATGTATAACTCAGTGTGAATGAGCTAACCTTATCTTTTTCTTGGAGAAGCTTTGATTATAAAATAAAGAGGAAAATGTTAAGACCTATGACATGCCCGGCCCTGCTCTAGGTGGCATTCACAAATAAGACCCAGTTGCTGCTCTCAAGTAGCTGGGGGTGGGTGGTATCATTGGAGCCACAAACAAGTGAAAGTGTCAGTCACTCAGCCATGTCCAGCTCTTTCGACTCCGTGAACTGTGGCCTGCCAGGCTCCTCTGTCCAGGGTTGCCATTCCCTTCTCCAGGGGATCTCCCTGACCCAGGGATCAAACTCATGTCTCCAGCCTTGGCAAGCAGGTTCTTAACCACTAGCGCCACCTGGGAAGCCCAGAGAATAGCGAACAGGCTGAGGTCAAATCCAAACCTCATTTGCTTCCCCAGATTGTCTAGGACCAGCCCTGGCTTCAGTCTTCCTTGGATATGGATCCTTAGAATTCAGAGGCATCTGGGCAAAAGCCCAGGAAACACAGAAATTCTGGTTGGTTAGTTGGTTTAGTTGCTAAGTTGTGTCCAACTCTTGCGAACCCATAGACTGTAACCCACCAGGCTCCTCTGTCCATGGGATTCTCCAGGCAAGAATACTGGAGTGGGTTGCCATTTCCTTCTCCAGGGGATCTTCCCAACCAGGGATCAAACCCAGGTCTCCTGCAGTGTAGGCGGATTCTTTACCAACTGAGCTACGAGGGAAGCCCCCATAGAAATTCTAGCCGCCTGTTTCCAGTCAGGTTTCCAGGCTCACTTTTCCTGTCTGCATACACTCTCCCCTCCAGGGCCCCCGAGGGGCCCCACCCGGCTGGGACCATTTCCTGGGTGTCTGAGGTAGGGTGAACCTGGGAAGGAGCTGCTTCTCCTTCTTTCCCTAGTTCAATTTGAGGAACTCATGTCAGCCGAGCAGGCTCTGGGGGCCTCGGGTTGGCTGGGCTGGGCTCCCTGGCCACACAGTGTAGGACAGTCCAGCTGACCAAGTCCCTACTTCTGCGGAAAACCTTTCAAACCCTCCCCTTCAGCTGTCTCTGCCTGAGGGAGCAAGGGAGCACAGGCTCTTCCAGGGAAGACAGGGTGTCCCTTATCCATGAGTGCCCCCCACCCACCGAGTCGCACCAAGTGAGCACTAGTGTGCAGAGCAGGAAAGCTGCAGGCGGGGGAGCCTGTGCCCGGGACACGCTGGCGTGGCTTTAAGCACCCTCGCTGCTCCCCAGCCTGGGCTGGGCTGGCTGATTAGAAACACTTAGCAGCTGTCCACACCGGGCTCTCTACTTCCTCTTAAAATCAGTGTTCTTAGAAGGGACCTGAAAGAGCATCTCCTCTCTGGCTGGAAGCCTTTTAAGACGTCTTGAATGAGTGGGAAGTCATCTCCCCAGTCCACCCAGCCTCGTTCTGGTCCCAAGAGAAGTCAAGCTTTTCAAAGCCCACCCTCCAACACTGGGGTTTGAATGTGCACGGAAATCTCCTCTAAGGCACTCGAAGGTCTGCAGCTCTTGGGTTTAGCAAAGCCAATCTGTTGACATGTTCCAGCTCCCCGGTCTGAGCTGTGCAACTTGCTCTCGGTGCTTCTTGGCTGAACTGAGCCTTTCCTGCAAGGCTGGCTCCCTCCTGGCAAGGCCTGTCTGTCACCTTGGCTGCACAAGGCTTTTCTCGCAGCCCTTGCCCTAGCCTTCCCATCTTCTTTCTGTATTCTTTAGCAGCTTGCCTGCCTTGTCTGTGTGCTGGCAGTAGTGGCGGAAAGGCAGGTAAGGAGGCAGGGGAGGAACCTGCAGAAATGGCAGCTGTCCAGCAGAGCATGCCAGTGGGGAGGGATGAGAAAATCCAAAAGAATGCAGTCGGAGGACCAGACACTGCGGTCACGCCTGCCATGTAGGGGAAAGACTCCGGGGTACGTTTCACAGTTGGAAGTCATGACACAAGTATGACAGAGAGGCCATTGTAGACATTTATTGTCTGCTGGAAATGGCCTTTGTTAAGGATGTATGATCTCTGTGTTGTTTTCAGTGAGAAGCAGAAGGCGAAGCCTGCCGTTCTCACATGCTTGTACAGACTTAGATGTGATAGCCAGCAAGGAACGCCTACATCATGATGTTTTAGTGAGGAATGCAAACCAGCCCCAATTCACAGCCCCTCTGAGGCCCAGGAGAAGTGACCCTGGGGGGCTAGAGCACGGCCTGAGGCAAGGATGCACCAGTACCAGCTGCATTCCAAGGGTGAGGGCATCTCTGCAGGACATCCGACAGCCAACCGCAGTGGCCAGAGGAGGGTGCCACCTGGGCAGGACAGGGAAGACCTGGCACCCACCCAGGCAAGGGGTGCCTGCAGATCAGGCCAAGGCAGAGCCCAAGAAGCTCCTGGTCACTGGAGACCCCTGCTCATCAGCAGTCCGTGATGGGTGATGGGGGAGGGAGTCCCACTGCCAGCAAAAAGGCCTAAAGGGACTTGTGGGAAGGATGGGGGGCACAGGAGAATGCCCGATTGGGCGTGAGCTCACACTGGCAGCTGGTGCAGATCATGTCTTGGCCCCCTCCCCCCCGCCCTCTGTCTGGATTTCTACTCCCCAAATACACATTCTTTTTCTGAAGAGGGAAGGAACAACATGTGCCAAGTACTTTCCTATATACCCCCACTGAAATGACTTTTCCAGGTAGGGTTTCATTAGCTTCATTTTACAAGTTAGGTGCTGTTTATTTATTTATGGGCTTCCCAGGTGGCACTAGTGGTAAAGAACCTGCTTGCCGACACAGGAGACATAAGAGACATGGGTTCGATCCCTGGGTTGGGAAGATCCCCTGGAGGGGGAAACAGCAACTCACTCCACTATTCTTGCCTGGAGAATCCCATGGACAGAGAAGCCCTGTGGGCTGCAGTCCATGGGGTCACAAAGAGTCAGACAAGACTAAATCAACTTAGCAGCAGCATTTACTTATTTATTGGATCGCATTGCCTGGCATGTGGGATCTTAGTTCCCCGACCAGGGATTGAACCTGTACCCCCTATAGGGGAAGCAGAGAGTCTTAACAGTTAGACCAGCAGGGAAGTCCCGCATTTTGCAAATTAGAGACTAGAGGCTCAGAGAGGGTAAGTAACCTGCTCAAGGTCACACAGACAGCAGAGGCGCTGGAGTACAAACCATGCTCTGTCGTCTAACTATGCCTGCATGCTGCCTCTCTGGCAGGGCCTGACCCCCTCACCAAAGGGCAGAGGAAGCTGGAGGAAAGGGCAGAGTGGCTAACAGCCTGTGGAACGCTTTATGATGGTCAGCACATGCTCACATCCACCATCTCCCTGCAAGGACAGACGGCTACCCTCCTGAGGCCCAGAGTGGGGAGACCCTTGTCCTCCTTTCCTCTCACACTCATGTAAAATCCACCAGCAAATAGTCAAAACTACCTTCAAGTCAGATAGAACCCGGCCACTTCTTACCACCTCCACGGCCATGCTAGTCTAAGCCGTCGCCACCATGTCTATCCCAGACAATTGAAATAACCTTAAAACTGGGCTCCTTGGCTTCACTTGCAATCCACTAGGGTCTATTCTCAACACGGCAGCCAGGGATCCTGGTAAAAGCGTTAAATCAGAGCATGTCGGTCCCGGCTCCAAGTCCCTGGTAACTCCTGTCTCATCTCAAAGAAGACGGCCCCTTCTGAGCTCAACTGTCTCTCTCCCACATTTGGAGGCTCAGCCATCCCCCAACCTTCCTACCCTCAGCTTAGTCTCTCCCCCTTGCCCCCCTCTGTCCAGCTTGACCTCCTTGCAGTTCCTCCCACAGGCCAAGCTCATTTCCAGCCCTCAGGGCCCTGCATGGACTGTTCTCTCTGCTTGGAACTCACTGCCCAGACATCACATGGGGCCACCCTCACTTCATGCCAGTGTCTGTCTGCTCAGGGGTCTGTTCTCAGAAAAGCTGCCCCATCAGGACTCCCAACTCACTGCCCTTGGGCCTTATCCTGCTATATATAGATAGATAGATAGATAGTCTAACTCCCTCATGAGAATGTATACTCCTGAGGACAAGGATTTCATCTGTTCCATTTACTGCTCTGTCCCCAGTATCTACAACACCTAGTGGATGCTCAACGTATACTGTTGAAAAATAAATGATGGAACATATGCAAGAACTCACTTCAGTCTGCAACTCCAGCAGCAGTGTTCTGCTACCTAAATAGCTTTGACTCAGGAGATCAAAGCACAGGATTGAACCCACCGCGGCACAATCCACCCAGGGCAGCTTTGCGTGTGTCTTTCTGTGTCTGCCTCTCCATTTTTCCTCCTCTTTCTCCTCTCCTTCCTACTCCTGCATGTCTGTCTTCCTTCCCTACTCATCTCAGCTGAGAAATACCTTTCAAGGTCCCCCACCCTGTGATGGATCCCGAGTGGCTCAGCTGGTAAAGAATCTGCCTGCAATGCCGGAGACCTGGGTTCGATCCCTAGGTTGGGAAGATCCCCTGGAAAAGGAAATGGCAACCCATTCCAGTATTCTGGCCTGGAGAATTCCAGAGACTGTATAGTCCATGAGGTTGCAAAGAGTCGGAAACAACTGAGCGATTTTCACTTTCACTTCACTTTCACCTTGTGATGGATCCTAGCCCACAGACCTTGGGTAAAGGCCTGGGCAAGTGGTTTTTTCCCTGAAACATTCATCAGCAGGGCTGAGAACTGGCCAGGGTGCAGAAGGAGGTCCAGAGGCCCGCCCTGATCCTGCCAGTGCTGAATCGGGACCTAGCAGGCCCCCCGGCCAGGGGCCTGGAGCCAGGATCCATGTGAACATCCCTAGCAGGAGCCCATCCTGAGGGAGGGGCCTGGGTGCACAGCCAGGCAGGCAAGGTCCAGGTGCCCGGACACACTCCGCAGCTAGAGGAAGGGAACCACACCAACCACATCAAAGAGATCCGGAGAACCAGCCAACACAAACAACCTCCCTCTGACTCTCCCCTGAAAAGATGGGAGTCGGGAGTCTGATTTCAAGATGGAAGGAGGGACAGTGGGGCAAGCCTGCCATCTCCACCGCCTGGAGGGGAGAATTCCAGTCCCTTCACTGAGAGGCTCTCTGAGTCTAGAGCTCTTGCTCGGTGAAAACCGGAAACAGAAACGGCCACGGCCAGAAGGCACTGCTGCGGTCTGCTGATGCCCCGGGGGCCGTGGAGCCAGAACAGGGGCTGGGGGCCTACCTGAGTCCCGGCGTCCATTCCCAGAGGCCACGTTGAAGCCGAAAGTGCCCTCCGGGGGGCGCTGTAGCTGCAGCTGGCTCGTGCCGTCGGGGAACACCTCCAGCAGGCGGCCCACGGGGCGCGCCAGGCCGGGGGCACTCACGTCCTCCACGCTGAGGGCGCGCCGGGCTGGCGCCTTGCCCGGCCTGTAAGGGGCGAGAGGCGAGGCAGGGCAGAGGGGGCGGGCACTGGAGCCTCTAGGCCTAGAGGAGGCCTCCGGACAGGGCTGGGCCTGGCGGTGCCCACAGCTGTGTGAGGTTCCACAGAGCCCCCTCCCCCAGTGGTTTTTAATCACTTTAATTAGAGATCGCTCTAAGAATGTGACAAGGTTTTTAATTTTACACAAAAATTCCAGGAATTAATAGACCCCCGAAGCCCCTCTGTGGAGCTATAGCCTAGCGGGTCTCATCAGAGAGGGCGGTTTCTCTGGGCAGGCCTGGTCAGGGGTCAAGGACCTCTTTGGGGACCCTGTCTCTGATCTTTAATCAAATCTTCAGCTGGACTAAGGAAGCTCTCTGAACATTCAGATTTCAAGATGTCATTAGATAGTAAAGGGATGGAGGAATCAAAACTTCCAACTCTACAGAAGCCCCAAGCCCTGTCCAGTTGCTCAGGACAAGAGCACTGAAGTGTGGGCTCTAAGACCCCTGAGGTACCTGAGGCACAGGTAGCCGGCCTCGGTTTCTCTTTTAAAGGGACCCCCGGGGCCATGCTGCTAAGGCGGGAAGGAGTTAAGTGTACAGCTCCACTGTCCATGCGCTGGGTCTCCCCTCCAAACACTTGCCCACTCTCACCTGTCAGCAGCACTGCGACCCCCTGGTTCCCCTACCAGGTAGAGGTTGGAGCGGTCCACCTTGCCACTCAGCAGAGAATGGAGGTTCTGAAAGGAGGTGGCTTTCCGATGTTGGCGAGAGGGTGACACCTGGTGGGGAAGACCCAATATTGCAGGTAAGAAAAGCCATCTGTAAGGGGGTTGACAGGGATTCCCTGGTAGTTCAGTCTGTAAAGAATCTGCCTGCAATACAGGAGACCGAGTTCAATCCCTGGGTCGGGAAGATCCCCTGGAGAAGGAACTCCAGTACTCTTGCCTGGAGAATCCCATGGACAGAGGACTATGGCAGGCTACAGTCCATGGGGTTATAAGAGTCGGACACAACTTAGTGACTAAGCCACCACCAAGGGGTTGACAGAAAGGGAACCCCAACCATGAACCTGAGGGCCTGCTAAGAAAGTTCTTAACACAATAACCATAACTTACTTAAAGAGATGGGCCTCTCAGGCACTCTGAAGCTTCAAATAATGAAAAAAATGTGTTGGCTGAAATAACAACTGAGTAGGATAATGCTAATTATGTCACTGATTAAGAAAATCTAACTTTCTCCTTGATAAACAAAAAAAGGTAGGACTTCCTTGGCGGTCCAGTGGTTAAGAAACCACTTGCCAATGCAGGAGATGGGTTCGAGATCTGGTCCAGGATGATTCCATACAACACAAGACAAATAGACCTGTGCACCACAACTACTGAAGCCTGCATACCTAGAGCCTGCACTCTGAAACAGGAGAAGCCACTGCAGCGATAACCACCGCAACTAGAGTAACCCCACTCACCACAACTAGAGAAAGCAGTGAAGACTCAGCACAGTCATAAATAAATACATTTAAAAAAAAGGTAAGACCAAATAATTACAGAATCATGTACACAATTTTAGAGTTAAAGTCTTAGTTTGTGATTCTTTAGTATCCCTTTTATGATCACCGACATTAAAAATTTTATCAAATATGCACCTAAAAACACTGTGCATGATGGATAAGACTGAAGTCCCTCAAGGAGTTCACAGCACAGTGGGGTGGGGTCAGCATGGACAGGTCAGAAGCCGTAAATGTATGTTGTAAGTGTGAGGCTAGAAGCATGGATGACACTGTGCAGGGAAGCAGAGCGACTCAGCTTAGGAGGCCTTGGGCTCTGGAGGAGCCGCTGCCTGCGCAGCACCTGAAGCAAGAACTCTCCAGGTGAAGACAGGAGTGGGGAGTTCCAGGCATAAGAAGTAGTAGAGGCAGACGGACAGAGATGGAAGAAAGCATGGGTGTTCTGGAACATTCTCGTGGCTGGGCTGCAGAGGTGATGGGCGATGGGCTGGAGCCAAGGGCCAGATCTGGAGAGACCTCGTATGACCTGCAGAGGAGCCACTGAATGATACTAATCAGAATAATTACAAGGTCCGATCTGTGTTCTAGAAACTGACCCAGTGAGGAGGCTATTCTGAGGGTGCGGCTGGGAGGCAGGGAGAGGCAGACTTCTAAACAATTACTGCACACCTTATTTATCACATTGGGAATCCATGCTCTCGGGAAGCTGTATTATCTAGAAGCTTAAGAGGGGGCCCTGAGCTTGCCTTGAAGTTCTGGAGGGCTTCCTGGAAGAAGTCATGTTCAACTCAAGAGTGGAAAGGCAGGGAGGAGGGGGAAGGGAGGAACGAATGAGCCACAGTCACGAGAGGACATGTGGTGAGGGTGCTCACTGCCTATTTAGAAGGGCAGAGTGAAAACCAAGCCCATCTGCACCCTCACCACGCACACCCTGAGATAGGTCATGAATATACCAGGGTGAGGCGGAGTCTTATTTTATGTTCTTTTTTTAGTTCTTGAACAATTATTTCTGCTGCTCAGTCCTCCCAGCACTTGCTCTCACCCTTTCTTGGCCAGCTTACTTCCTAACTTGGCCCACTCGGATTACATGGCAGATAATGGGCTGTCATCTCCCTTGGGTACACAGACTGAAGCTCTGATGGCCATACATCTGAGCACCATGGCTCAGACACACCGGGGACAAATCTAACTTCAGGAGAAAAGCAGCAAATTCCTGGAGCACCATGTCACTCTAGGCTTTTGTCCCCAGCTTGAGATCATTTTGCTTATGTTTCTTTGCCTTCCAATTCATCCAACCAGCAAATATTTATACTATACGTGATGCAAGACGACCAATGGAATGTTCATTCAGCCTGCATTCTCTTCCCTTCTTCAGGCTGAAAAATGAAAGGCTCCAATGCCCTAAACTGCAATCGCCTACTTTGTTCTGCCCAGGGGAGAAGGCGGGGAAGAGAACAGAGATGATACCTGGAAAACCTGGACTAGAATAGACTTTCAGAGACCTAGCTGAGACTTAAGCGCTGCTGTTGGTTTGCTGTCGGTTTATCCTTTAGCGCATGAGAAGGGAACTTCAGCAGGCTGCCCTGTGTTCATTCACTCTCTCGTTCATTCACTGTGTGCTGTGTATGGCTACTATGCTAATTATTATACTAACTATTTGGAATCTAAAGATCAAGTAGTGTTCCCTCAGAGACTCACATTCCACTGAGGAGAGACAGACAAAAATCAAAATACTACATGACAAGTTCCATGAAGGAGGAAAGCACAGGATGAGAAGGAAAGATGGAGCAGAGGTGCCCAGCTCAGCCCAAGGAAGGACTAGAGGTTTCCTGGAGGAAGTCATGCCTTAAATGAACAGGAATTAGCAGGCAGAGAAGATGGGAAGACTATTTCAGGTGAAGGTTCAAACTGTGTGGCCTGATTTCAGAACTGCAAGGTCAAGGATAACTGGGGTTGAGTATTAGGGGAATGATCAGTTAGATTACTGAAGCGGTCAGATTATAGAAACGCTTTGGCAATGTCGAGTGACCTCCAAGTGTTTTCCTGGGGGTGGTAAGGGACCAATGGTGGATGTTCCACAAGGCGGGCAGCAGGACCAAATTTGCATGCAGGAAGGACCGTTCTGGAAGCCACATGGGGAAAGACAGGGCAGGGACGCCAGTGAGGAGGCTGTGGAGGCAATCCAGGTATGCAGTGATCTGTGCTAGACTAACAGAGTGGCTGTGGCCATGGGGAAGCTTCCAGAATAATCAGGCAGCCGATGGCAGGCCTTGGCAGAGGTGGTGGAGTGAGGGAGGGGGAGGGGTCTAGGCTGAGCCCAGGCTGAGGCAGTGGGGTGGAAGGACAGAACTCGCTCATCGCACCGTGTCCAGGGAGTTCACGTCTCTCGGATGCACTGTGGGGATGCCAGGAGCGTCCCTTTCCCCACCCCGGGCTCCTCAGGAGCACGCCTGGCACTTCCCTTCTCCTTCACCTTTCATCTCAGTAGTGGCTACCACCCCCCTGCCCTCACACACCCCTCGGCTGGGCCCGTTGCACTCACCAGATGCAGGGATTGTAAGGACGGGGCTCTCTTCACTTTGGGGGTGCCAGTGTGTGAAGCCGGGCCGGGCGCCGGGGGCTGCAGCTGCTCCACGCTGTAGCTGCGGGACTTGGCCATCTTGGGCCGCGTGCCCTGACTCAGCGCTGAGAAGAACTTCTTCAGCCCCAGGGCAGAGGCAATGCCTCCGCTGCTTCCCTTGCTCTTGTCAGAAGCGGCGGCGGAGGGCGGGCTGGGGCCCGCACTGACCCCCGACGAGGCACTGAAATGCAAAGGTGGATGTGAGGTGCATGGGAGAGGGCTGTGGGAGGCAAGAACCTTAGGGTCCCGTGGGCCCAGCTGGGCCAGCACCCCAGCCTCGAGGAGGTGACAGCCAGGCTGCAGACAGAAAAGCCGAGTGGGCTTCTGCAGGAGCCTCGCTTGGGCAGCAGGGAAGACGCTCAGAGTCACAGCCCACTATGGGTTCACCAGTGACTCCTCGGAACCTCTGCCAGGCTTCCTGCCAGCACGTGGCAGATCACGAGGGTATGGGATAAACCGGACAAGGCCCTTCCACTTGGGGGCTTACGAACAACAGGCTAGTAAACAGGGAGAAGCCCTCTGAGTGACCGATGAGCAGGGTGAAGCAGAGGGTGACAGGGTGGCTGGGGAAGGCCTCTCTCACAAGACAACATTTAAACCGAGGGCTGAATGGCAGGAAGGAGTCAACCCTGCCGAGCCTGGAGGTGAGAATTCCAGGGCGAAGGAGCAGCTGAAACCACAGATCTAGGCAGGAAGAGGCTCGCTGTGTGGTGGGTTTGAGAACATGACGGGGCCGAGCCTGTAGGACTTTGATGTAATGAGGAAAGAGGGATCAGCAGGGATCTGACAGGTGAGCGAAGCTGTATTTCATTGAGTGCTATGTCAGGGTAAGGGGTTTGTGTCAGGGTGAGGTAAGTAAAAGGACAGAAATGACATCACTTAATTAAGGTTTTCAAAAGACACCTCAGACTATTGCGTGGAGAAGGAACTGAGGGGCAGGAGGAAGGCAGAGAGCAGATAGAGACCGTTAGGTTTGCACAGAAAGAAGGAACACTCTGAGACCAGGAGAAATGCCATGCAGGTAGCTGCAGGGGCCAAAGAGGATGTGCCAGTGGATGAGGCTGGGAGGGAACGGGGAGCGGGCAGCCGAGACGGCGGAGTGCGAGCACCGTGGGGATCGCGGGGTGCTGTGTGTTGGCCGGGGGGAGGACTCCGGGAAGCAGCTTTCATCAGAAGTGATCAAGAGTTCCACTAGGTCTTTCGGGCACCCTAGTGGGGATGTCAGGGGAACTGGATGCACAAATCCAGAGTTCCGGGGAGCATGTGGGGCAGGAGATGGAGATCTGGCTGCAGTAGCATGTGAAGCCCTGGGCCACATGGCACCAGGGATGATGTGTTGTGGAGAAAGGAGGGCCCGGCCAGAAGACCAGCTCACCAAAGCTCAGCAGCCCCAGGGCAAGGACTCGGAACCTCGGGGCTGAAGGAGAGCGTGGAACCGTGAGTGCCGGGCTGTTTCCCACCCCAGGATCAGAAGCAAGTCCTCTGACAGAGAGCCCATCCTGGGAGCACCTGGAGGGCTGGGACTGTATGCACAGCTGTGTCCAGAACAGCGCCTGCAGCTAGAGGCCGTTCGGGGAAAGCCTGCGCAATGAATAAGCACGCACACTAGACTGAACAGGGCAGGGAACGGACTGCTGGGGTGCCATGCTTACACCTAATCTAGAAGCCCTCTGAGGATCTGGGAGTAGTTAACTTATCCTGCTGCCGCTCTGGGGGGCTCCTCCCCACCCAGCACCCCACCCCCCCACCTCCCGAGTCAGGGCTCTCGCTCCTGTCACTCACCGGGATGACACGTGCCCTACAGAACTCGGCTCTGCCCTCCGCAGGCCTCCCTCTGCTTCCTGGCTGGACTCGGGCTCCTCTGAGGCAGGGGAGAAAGTGATGCCCACGGAGCTGATGGTGCCAACAGCTGCTGAGGCAAGACAGCCCTGGGATCCTCCTGCAACAAGCACAGCAATCCTCCTGTGGCACTGATCCGCCCCCACGGGTCATGGGGGCGAGGGGGGCAGTCCCAGCAACAGGGGCAGGAGAGCCAGAGGAAGATGCAGGGAAGCGGGAGCCCCCGAGAGCCATTGAGGCGGTGGTGAGACCCACACACAGCCGGGGGGGCTCCTGTTTCCCTGGGCTGAAGTCCATCACCCCCAGCATAGCACCTGGCACGCAGCAGAGGAGAATAAAGATCTGTGAAATGAAGGGCTGGACTTCCCTGGTGGTACAGCGGTTAGGAGTCCGCCTGCCAACGCGGGGGACACAGGTTCAATCCCGGGTCTGGGAGGATTCCACATGCCGCAGAGCAGCTAAAGCCCATGCGCTGCAACTACCGAGCCCGCATGCTGCAACTTCTGAAACCCACGTGCTAGAGCCAGTGCTTGGCGACAAGAAAAGCCACCGCTGTGAGAAGCCCGTGCCCAGCAACCAAGAGTAGGCCCCACTTGCTGCAGCAAGAGAAAGCCCACACGCAGCAACAAAGACCCAGCACAACCAAAAATAAAAATAAATAAATAAAGAATTTTTTAAAAATGAAGGGCTGTTTATAATAAGTCATGTCCCTCCTGTATCAAGAGGTATATGAAAGGACTTGTGGACACAGTGGGGGAAGCAACGAGTGGGATGAATGGAGGAAGTAGCATCAACATATATACACTACCTGTTTTATGTGTAAAACAGATAGCTGGTGCGAAGTTGCTATATAACACAGGGAGCCCAGCCTGGCACTCTGAGATGCCCTAGAGGGGTGGGATTGGGGGCTTGGAGGAAGCTCAAGAGGGAGGGGATATATGTATAATTTTGGTTGACTTGCATTGCTGTGTGGCAGAAACCAAGGGCTTCCCTGGTAGCTCAGCGATAAAGAATCCACTGGCAATGCAGGAGACACGGGTTCGATCCTCAGGACAGGAAGATCCCCTGGAGGAGGGCAGGGCAACCCACTCCAGCATTCTTGCCTGGAGAATCCCATGGACAGAGGAGCCTTGCGGGCTACAGTCCATGAGGTTGCAAAAGAATCAGACACAACTTAGTGACTAAACCAACAACAACAAAAATGGAAGAAACCAACACAACACTGTAAGTCGATTTTCTTCTAATGAAATAAAAAAGAGATACATATATGGTGGTGGGCGGTGGGGGGCAGGGGGAGATTTGTGTTCCTGGGACAAGAACCACAATCCAGTTGGCTGTGATGTCTAACAGCTAAACGATAGCCACCATTTCTGGAGCATCTGTGATATGCTAGGCAAGAGTTAAACCCTCTTCAGGGATTATTGCCTAAGCTCCTAGGAGATGGGTTCTAATGATATTTTCAGGTTAGAAAGAAGGAGAACTGGAGACAGAGGAGTGATGTGAGGAGCCCAGGACCTCGTGGTGAATGAGCCTCACCTGGCCCTCTGCTCCAGCAGGTGAAGGCCGGGCTGCCCAGAAAGTTCAGCAACTCTCAAAATAGGAGCCCACAGGAAGTGGGTAGGGGTAGCCAGCCTAGCACCCACCGAATGGAGGAAAACCACGCTTGAGCACAGGGCAGGTGGGAACTCAGGGTGGGGCCTGCTTCCTCAAGGTTCCTGTGAGTACGGGAGGGATAGGGCGGCGTTGGCTCCCCATGTGCGGTGGAGGGGTGGCGGCACCCCGGAGGTGGGGTGGGCGCTGGGCACCTGCATCCTCAGTAAGGTCAGCACGGCCCGTCACCTCTCTGGCCTCTCCCCGCTCACTGTTCCCAAGCCCTGGATTCCTCCCAAGCCATCACAGCGCCAGGGCTGCCGGAGCCATGGGAGTGAGTGGCCGAGTTCCTCAGCTCAGATCACAGCACCAGGGAAGCTCAGGATTTGCCCACGATACGAGGACCCCTTCCAAGGGTAGAGGGGATACCTCTGGCCTTCAGCAGCCTTGCCTGCTGAAACACCAGCGTGCCCAGTAGGCTTGTGGTGCTAGGAGAGCTTGGGCACCAGAGAACAACCCCAGTACTCCTTGTAGGAGCTCTGCTTACTGGTCACGGTGTCATCCGGACAGCACCTGCTTGGCCGCTGAGGGTCTCGGGGTAGACTCCCGCTGAATTAATTCACTTATGCTTCCCCTGAAGGGCCTGGGATGGTGCCTGGCCTGTAATGGGTGCTCACACTGTACTGAATGAATGAGTGTATGAAGTGACCATGTTGAAGGGGAGGGACCTTAGCCGTGGGATTATCTGGCATTTGCTGCTCTAAGCAAGTAGTAAATCCTGGAGCTGCTGCCTCTTTCTGCTCTGTTGGTAGTAAAATTCCCTCAAAGCCCAGGCCTCCCACAGCCACAGAGCTTGGAGCTCCTTTAGCAGCCCTACCACCACCTCCCCGGGGGGGAGTTGGCTAATCTGCCTCCAGGCTGATGTTGAATCCTGAACCCGCTCACAGACCCTGCCAAGTTCCCCAACATCTGCCGGGCTCTGGGGGCTGCTAGGAGCAATGCACTGCTCTGTCATCTATTAAGATGAACAGTTAAGTGCCTGACGGGCCACAAACCCAGCCCGTGATCTCTGGTCTAGCACCACCCTAGCCCCAGGGCCATCCCTCACCATCTCTGCGGTCCTCCAGCGGTGCTGCGGGCTCCTGGCTTCGGGCACCCATCTCCCCCACGAGGATGGCTCCTCCCCAGGGCTCCTGCAGCCCCTGGGGCACGCTGCTGTGGCAGTTGTTGGTGGACAGGGCCCGCAGGGGGTGCCTGCCTTGGGGGCTGTGGGGCTGGGGCTGTGGCGGGGTGAGCTCGCGGGTCCTGGGAGCTGCGCTTCTGGAAGCAGGCAGGGGGCTGTCCACCAGCTCTCCCTGGTTGCCCAGCCTGCGAAGCCCAGCCAGGGCTGCCTTCCTGTGAGACACGGGTGAGGCGGTTTTCTCTGAAGAGGGAGGGGTCGGCACCCAGCCGTCAGGGCAGAGGGAAGCAGTCGGCTGTAGGGCCTGGTGGGGGGCAGAGGGCTCTGCCTGGCTCTGTTGAGGGCAGTCGGTTCCCAGAGACTCGTGGCTTTCTATAACTGGGCCTTGTTTGCCTGGCCCCGAGGACCCCAGCTTCATGGGAGAGGCGATGGCGTAGGCTGTCTGAAAAGCCCCGGGGTGAGCCCCGTGATTTTCCAGGCCTGGTCCAGGTTGCCACGGGGACCCGGGGAAAGCCCTCTTCAAGTCCTGGACAGGAGGCTTAGAGAAAGCATCTTCTCTGGGGAGCAGAGTCCCTTCCATCGTCTGGCCCGCGCCTTCTGTCACCTCATCTGACACCTCCAGGAGCTCCAGCCCCGGCAGATGGTGCGAAGCCCGAGAGCTCCGGGGCGGCTCCATCTCCGCCTTGCGCAACCACCTGTGGCCTCCCCGAGGCCTGGGGGCGCGCAGGCGGGCCCTGCTGGGCTGAGAGGTCCCGGCCTCCTCACTGTCGGTCCGGCAGCTGTCGGAGGTGTCGGTGCTGTCCAGGGCTGAGTCCGCCTCCTCGGGAAGCGCCTGGTCCCCGATGTGCGTCTCCCGGATCCACTCGGTGTGGAGCCGGGGCTTGGCGGCGGAGAGGAGCCGGAACGGGGCGCTCAGGCCCGCAGAGCTGAGGGGCTGCGCCGACGCCCCCTCCCTCCCACAGGCGGGTTCGCGCTCCTGGAGGATCCTCTGGTCGGGTGTGATGCAGTGGCCACAGGCTCGGCACCTCCTCTCGCTGCCCCGAGCGGGCGGCGGCGCCGAGAGGCCCCGGGGCTGCAGCCCACCCAGCAACGAGTGCAGAGCGCCCGCGCCCGCGTCCCGGCGCCGGCAGCCCCGCTGGATGTAGTCGGCGAGGTCGGGCTTGGAGCGCAGGGGGCCCTGGTCCGCCGTGCTCAGCACCTGGCGCTGACGTTGCTGCAGCCGCTCCAGGTAGCGGGACTCGGCGTCCCGGGCGGACTCATCCTCAAAGCGGACGTGGGACGGGGAGGCGCCCCGCTTCGGCCACTGCCCGCTGCTGGACTCCCCGCTGGAGGAGTCGCTCGTGTTCCCGTTCTGGAGGTTGTCTCGGCAGGCGAAGGTCGTCCTCGGGTCCAGGGCTGGGCTTTTCCGCCCATCTCTGATGGGCAGGCAGGAGGAGACAAGTCATGAGCAGGAAGAGGTGAGGAAGGTACAAGCCTCCTCGCGCACCAGCCCTACCCGTCCACCCTGGGGCACGGTCTCCCACAGCAGCGCTCAGGGAAAACTACAACCCAAAGTTGCCCAAATCGGGTTCCTCGGGAGTCGGGCAGCAGAGAAGCCTACAGGCCCATCCCCATCCTCAACATAGTGCTGAACAAATGAATATGACCTTCTCTACTTTTGGCTTTGCCTCTGTTGCCTGTCTCCGCCTGAGTTAAGATGAAACACTATTAAACGCAGGACTGTAGAAAGGATGGTACCGAAGTCCTGGTGTGTGTTTAGAAGTGAGTTTGGCCATCATGGGCATCTGGTGAACTGTGATGAATTGTGGCAGTACTGCATCTGTTATAAAGGTTTAATGGGAAGAGCATAAGTTTCCATGGAGACCGTGTGGGACCTGCAGTCAGAGTTTCTAAGCATTCCTGCTCTCCAAAGTGTTTACTCAGGGTTCCTAACCATCTTGCTGGGGCAAAATTTAGACAGAGTGACACTGGTATTTCTCCTTGGTCTCGCCATCTAGTCTGTTCCAACGCTGCCTCCTGAATCTGCCCGTCCCCAGACCCTCTCACACACTCTGTCCCAAAACGCTGTGACAACAGTTACTATGCTAGGAAGAGTCCTCACATTCTGTCTCCAGCCTTTGCTCTGGGAGACGCTGTGGCTGGTGGTCAAGTCCTGCTCAGCTCAAGAAAACACCTGCACAAATCTCACACCAGGCCCCCTGGAGCCAGGTAACCCGAGTTTCAGATCCCTGTGTAAATGGACCCTACCGGCCCCTTGTCTACCAGAGGCCACCTAAATAAGGACCATATGCTCCCTACCTTTCCCCGCAGCACCTCGCCACGAATCTACTGATGAGTAGCTGGGATTCACATCATTTCCTGCTTTTGTCACTCCCCCTGGACCCCTGAAGTGGCCTCCTATTCACTGGTCCTCCTGGATCTCAGCTTCATCACATCATCTCTCAAGGGGGCACAGGATCAAGTTCACAGTCTTTGGGGTAAATATGCAGGCCTTCCACAATCCTCTCTGCCTTCCTTTCCAGCTATGGCCCACTTGGAAGGCCTCCAGGCTTCTCACCCCATTTATCTTATGCAACCCTCCTGCCACTGTTTCCTAGAATCTTTCTTCTTAACCTGTCTGCCTCTGATTATCAGTCATTAAATCATACCTGTGTATAGATGCCATGTGTAATGTTTAATTTTATGTGTCAGCTTGGCTGGGCCATGGTGCCCAGGTTCTTGATGTTTTTCTGAAGGTTTTTTTCGGGGGAGGGGAGGATAAGATTAACATCTAAACTGTGCTGTGCTTAGTCATCAGTTATGTCTAACTCTTTGTGACTCCATGGACTTCAGCTGCCAGGCTCCTCTGTCCATGGAATTCTCTAGGCATGAATACTGGAGTGGGTTAGCATTTCCTTCTCCAGGGGATCTTCCCAACCTAGGAATCAAACCCAGGTCTCCTGCATTGCAGGTGGATTCTTTACTGTCTGAGCCACAACAGAAACCCAAGAAAACTGGAGTGGGTAGCCTATCCCTTCACCCAGGGATCTTCCTGACCCAGGAATCAAACCGAAGTCTCCTGCATTACTGGCGGATTCTTTACCAGCTGAGCTACCAGGGAAACTGATTTAAACTGGTGGACTTCAAATAAAGTTGATCATGGTATGGTGGACCTCATCCAGTTGAAGGTCTGAATAGAACAAAGACTGCTCTTCCCTGAGCAAGAAGGAATTCTGCCAGCTGACTGCCTTTGGATTTGAGTAGCAACTCTTGCCTGGGTCGCAAGCCAGCCAACCTACTCTGCAGACTTTGGACTTACCAAGTTTCCAAGGTACCATGAGCCAATTTCTTAGAATAAAATTTTCTCACTCTGTAAGCACACACTGTGTTGGTTCATTCCCTGGAGAACCCTGACTGATACAGCTTGATGCTATCTCCTCCTCTGACTATTCATGCCACTCATTTGTCATCAAAGACTCAGGAGATGTCAGAGTTGGAAGGGACTAGCACAACCCCTACTTGTTTCCACAAAGGAGAGGACACACAAGACCAGTTTCTGGACTGACCAGCACCTGAACAGCTGGGAAAGGCAAGCTGCAGAGAGTTTTTCTCTTTTAGAAGGAGCCATGAATATAGAACTAGTCTTTGACCATGCTCATGGTCAGGTTCTGACTGGAGACAGGGGCTTAGATTTTAGAGACCTGTTACTTCTTTCCTGCTATGTCATCTCACATGCTGGCAAAGTAATGCTCAAAATTCTCCAAGCTAGTCTTCAACAGTATGTGAATCGAGAAATTCCAGATGTTTAAGTTGGATTTAGAAAAGGCAGAGGAACCAGAGATCAAATTGCCAACATCTGTTGGATCATCGAAAAAGCAAAAGAATTCCAGAAAAACATCTAACTTCTGTTTCACTGACTATGCTAAAGCCTTTGACAGTGTGGATCACAACAAACTGGAAAATTCTTAAAGAGATGGGAATACCAGACCACCTTTCCTGTCTCCTGTGAAACCTGTATGAAGGTCAAGAAGCAACAGTTAGAACCAGACATGAAACAATGGACCGGTTCCAAATTGGGAAAGGAGTACGTTAAGGCTATATATTGTCACCTTGCTTATTTAACTTATATGCAGAGTACATCATGCAAAATGCTGGACTGGATGAAGCATAAGCTGGAATCAAGATTGCAAGGAGAAATATCAATAACCTCAGGTATGCAGATGACACCACCCTTATGACAGAAAGCAAAAGGAACTAAAGAGCCTCTTGATGAAAGTGAAAGGAGAGTGAAAAAGCTGGCTTAAAACTCAACATTCAAAAAACTAAGATCATGGCATCTGGTCCCATCACTTCATGGCAAATAGATGGGGAAACAATGAAAACATTGAGAGATTTTATTTTCTTGGGCTACAAAATCACTGCAGATGGTGACTGAAGCCATGAAATTAAAAGACGCTTGCTTCTTGGAACAAAAGCTATAACAAACCTAGACAGCATATTAAAAAGCAGAGACATTACTTTGCCAACAAAGGTCTGTCTAGTCAAAGCTATGTTTTTTCCAGTAGTCATGTATGGATGTAAGAGTTGGACTATAAAGAAAGCTGAGCACTGAAGAATTGACGCTTTTGAACTGTGGTGTTGGAGAAAACTCTTGAGAGTCCCTTGGACTGCAAGGAGATCAAACCAATCCATCCTAAAGGAAATCAGTCCTGAATATTCATTGGAAGGACTGATGCTGAAGCGGAAACTCCAATACTTTGGCCACCTGATGTGAAGAGGTGACTCATTTGAAAAGACCCTGATGCTGGGAAAGATTGAAGGCAGGAGGAGAAGGGGACGACAGAGGATGAGATGGTTGGATGGCATCACTGACTCAATGGACATGAGTTTGAGCAAGCTCTGGGAGTTGGTGATAGACAGAGAAGCCTGGCGAGGTGCAGTCCATGGGGTCATAAAGAATCGGACACAACTGAGTGACTGAACTGAACTGAACTACTTCTTTCGAATTACCGAGAAGAGTACCCATGCAGTTATCTGTGCCGGCATACTTCATGTGTTGTTACTGCTTTTAGTCCTCAAATGCACCTACAAAGGCTTCCCTAACTATACTCTCCTCCTAGCAGAACTCGTTCAAACTTGTCTTGACACTCCCACAACTTATTATAAATGAAATGTATGTGAGTGATTGGTTGATTTACTTATCCTTCCTCTAATTGGATGCTTCAGCTATTCTGGAGGAAAGATGGCAGTGTTCTCAAAAAGGTTGCCTTCGCATGAGTTCCTTCTTCACCAAATTTACAGCTACCCAACAGAAAGGCAGGTGTGGTATGCAATTAAAAGGAAAGGAGTTCAATGTGGACACAGGGTGGGTAAGAGGAGGGTGGGATGAAATCGGAGGGTAGCACTGGCGTACATCCACTACCACGTTTGAAACAGGTGGCTAGTGGGAAGCTGCTGTGTCGCACAGGGGGTTCAACTTGGTGCTCTGTGATGACCTAGAGGGGTGGGGTGGGGGCGTGGTGGGAGGAGATATAGTATATATATAGCTGATTCACTTTGTTAACACAACACTATAAAGCAATTATAATCCAATAAAAAGAAATTTTTTAAAAAAGGGGGTCAGAAAATAGCAGGAAGAAACCATCCATGCTTAACAATTACTGTTAGAACATGCCAACCAGTGGGGAGAGTGGCCACTGAACTGGTTGACTTCCTTAACTATACATGGCATTGACTAGCCTGGACAGTGCATGCTTCCAGGCTGTGCTTTCTGTGTGGGCAAGTGGCCTTGCCTGCCTGACTCAGGTGGACATGTGCTCACCGGGGTCTGAGGGCATCTGTGACCATCCCAATTCATCCCCTTCCTGGGTGCCTCGACAGCCAGGCCGCTGACTGATCTCAAGACCCTGATGGGTTAGAGTGATCCGGATCACAGATGGCATGGAGTATGGCAAACAGAGGCTACCCTTGGGGATCCTGGGGTTGCCTGAGATGTCAGAGTTAAATTGTCCAAGACTGATTCCCTGCAAAGCTCCATGGGAAGCAGCTACAGCTGAGAGCTTACTCCCTCACTTGTGCCATGTCAGCTCACCACAACCTCAAATCGTGGACCCGGGGCCTCTGGTCACAGCAAGAGAGGGGCTGGCGCTCACCCAGCCATGAATGCTGAGCTGGCAAAATAAAGCTAGAGCCAAGGTCCTGCTGTGTCATACTGCATTGTACCCTAGTCCCCAGTTGACACCAAGGAGTGGGTGAGTACTTCCTAAATCAAGGAAGCTGCAAAGTGCAAGTTGTGGGGGCCTTCCTGAAGCCTGATGCTGGGTGTTCCCTGGGTGTTTACACTGCCCTGGGTGCAGCCTGCACACTTGCCACCAACCCCGACTCCAGCGCTTTCCCCAATTGGTGCTGTTCCAGGAGTGTTTTTGTTTTTGTTTTT